AGCAACAGGCAAGGAAGCTCTTGAAGAATATGCCTTTGAAGAAAACAAGTCCAAAGATGTCCTCAGAGACATCCCAAGAGAGGCACTTCCTGTTGAAACTGAGTCACATAAAGCAGTAGAGGACCAAGAGGAGAGGAGACAGCCATTGAGGGGGGAAGAAGACAGAGATGTCACCCCACCAGAGCCTTCTGTAATCATCTCCCAAAAAGAAGTGGAGCCTGAGGAGGGAGAAGATTCTGGACCCTTGCTAGAAACAGCCACACTCCCCGTTGAGTTAAAAGATGATGTGGAAGATAAAGACGCTCCTTTGGAAGAGGCTGTGCCAGGTACAGGAAAACACCGGTCACCCAAGAAGAAACCTTGTGCCCATGTTGCAGATAAAGCCGTCAGTCGCGTCCCTCTCCTAAAAGGTGTGTGCAAGGTTTGCCTGCCCTGAGCTCACATTGCCAGTGGCTTGCTCACGACAAGGCTGCCGGAACAAATACTTAGCTTGCTGCCACCTCTCGAATCCTGCTGCTTGGGAAATGGCCTGGACCTTTGCTGTGAACTGATCAGCAGAGCACTGCTGCTTCTTCCACCCGTTCCTTCCCTTTTTAGTTTAATCCTGGATGTCCTGGTATACTTGCCAGACCCTTAGCTTCAGTTTTGCATCCCTTGCATGGTGCTGGCGTGTCCCCAGTCATGCTTTGTTCGCCTGGTTTTGTTTTGATTTCCTTGGATCTGTGGCGTGGGCACCTTAACTCACACGTGGTACCTTCCCAGAGAAGACAGAGACTGGCATGTTGGAGTGGGGCTAACCCAGCGCACACTGCAGCTTGTTCCAGCAAGACACATGCCATCTGGTTTGCATGTGTCCGCTGTCCGGTCTAATAACTCTTTGTACTGGCTTTCCTGAAGATGAGGCAGGAGGAGAAAGGCAAGTGAGACTGCAGGTCTAACCGTGGAAAAGGTCCCACATTGGTCCTGTTTCTTGTACTTTTCCCTGAAATATCCAGTACTGACTGATGGTGGAGGCACAGTCTGCAGCTGGCTGGACCTTAGCCCACTGCAGGGCATGTCTGCTGCTCTTACAAAGCTTCCTTCTCCGATCCCCATTCTGGACAGCGCGTCCCTGGGTGGCCCAATGCCGTGGCTGTATTTGGGGTGTCCTGTGGGAGCTGCCTGTGTGTGTGGAGGCCTGGCTTTTGAGTGCATCTAACAGCATGTGGGTCTCTAGGCTGGGAGGGCAGTCAGACCGTGGAGCTGCTGTGTTCATGCAGCAATCTCAGTCTCGGCTCTCTTGGGTGAAGGTCTGAGTTCACCGCTGAATGCACGAGGATCCCCGCCGCCAGAGCAGCTCTTAGACCTTTTCTTTCTCCAGGAGCTATCTTCCACCTTTACTGGGGGTCAGAGGGATGTCACTCAGTGGCCAAATGCCAGTTTTGCAATGAGTTGTGTTAATAAGCTGGCGCAGCAGGACACACGTTAAAACCCGAAGGTGCCTCACCATGTTGTACCTCAGCTCTGGCTGTCCAGGGCCCTGGCGTGGGGGAAGCTCTGCCTTCCACGCCAGTGTCCATCTCAAAAGCTGGCTTGACTGCTTCCATTAGCCTGCAAACGCTGCTCCGGTTTGTGGCAGAGAGAGCGTGCTCTTTGCTGCGCGAGGTTCTTGAAGAAATTGTTGATGTAGCTTTTTCCATTGGAGCTAAAGCTCATAACATATTTCTCATTGTTCACTGCCTAATAAGCCAGCGGGAGGCTTCGCACATGTGCTGCAGGGCATTGGCATGGCTTGCTATCACTCGTATCGGAGCCTGAAAACGATGGCGGGTTGCGGATGCATTGCCCAGAGTCAACCAGTTTCTGATTCAATAGGAGGAATTTCTTTGATTGTTTAATGGTCTTTTACTTCAAAGATGGGGATACTTCATGGCTGTTCAGCTCCAGCCTTGCTCCAGTCTGCAATTTAACTGAACTGGGGAAGGGCAGTGCACCCAGCAGCTCTGGGAGTGGCTGTTGGAATGGGTCAGGGTCGTCAATGCTGGATTAACAACATTGTTCATGTCACTGGGAAAGGGCTGACCCCTCAGGGCAAGCTGCCAAAACACTGGCGATAATATCAATAGCTTTTCTTCCCAGATTAGGGAGGAATTAGCTGAAGACTGGGAAAAAGGTCTTTGTTACAAGTGCAAGTTATGGTGCAAACATTACTTCCTCCCCGTTTCTGATCTCCTGATTAGCGATACTGCGGTCTGTTGTGCTTGTAGACTAATGGGTCAAAACACTGAAATATTGTCAGTCACTCTGTGCTTGATGCCAATCAAGTAGGACAACAGCTGAAACCTCAAGACCCTGTAGGGTCTGACCCAGGTCAAAGGTGTGCTGTCTGCTGAGGGGGCGGAAAATAGTGTGTCAGGAGAGATGGGAAGTAACAACAGCCAGGTATAAAAATGCTGAACAACAGCTGAACAGCAACTGTAAATGAGATCATGGACAGCTTGGTGCTGCTAGAATTGGGGCATCTTTCCATTTTAGTCTTTATTTATATGATTGTTAGAACCAGTGGGCGTTTTGGAGAGGGAGACTCATGTTTAGGGTTGAAGAGAACTGTTCTGTCCTAAACTGATCAGATGCTACTGGAACTGAGTGCAAATCTGGACAAAATTGTCTCATCTCAGACCTTGTTGCATGTGTGTGATGCCCCAGCGATGACTAATACACTGTTGCCTGTGCCCAGGATAACCCAGAAAGAATGTGTTTACCATGTACAAGTATTTCTGCAAGAAATGAGTGTAATATTTCTAGGAATAGTATCAAATTTAAAGGCGAGCAGGAACATGGAGCACCCACCCAGCATGCATGTTGCTGTAGCACAGGCATTATCATCTCTCCAGAGTTTACTGACCAGTCCCAAGAAACGTAACGGTGTGTGCTTCCATTTGTCAGGCCGTATTGACAGCAAAGACAAGGAAGGGACTGAAGCTGAGGAAAAGAAACCGAAGGTAAGCTAAAAAATAAACCCAGAGGTGGCATCACCTGCTCAGTGCTGTGCATGTTCCTGGCTCCCTCTCCTGCTCTCCTGGACTGCAGTTGTGCCTCCTAGGAAACCTGGCCATTGTCTTCCATTCTTCTGTCTGTCTTTCAAGAGTGTTTTTATTTTTTCTTCCCTCACCCCGGTTTGGATGGTGCAATCCATGGTGATCTTTGAGAGCAAGGAAGCAAGCAAAATCTAAGACAAACATGTGGCTCATGGGGTTGGGTGGGTGGTTAGAGAAATCATTTTCTCAGCCTGAGACTGGAAAGCAGCCGGCTGGTTTTGCTGGGGCAAACCGGTGCGAAAGCAAACTCAGAACTGCATTGGGCTGTGTACTGGGGACAAGTAGCATAACACTGAAAAGGGCAAGACATGTAATTAAAAAAATAAATAATCTAGGCCTTGCAGATGCCGTGTTCTTGGTGAGGAACAGAGTTTAATTGTGGGTAAATTCCATAAGTTTAAAGATATGTGTCACACTGCTAATTTGGAGGAGATTTAGTTCAGCTGGCCATTAGCCTGGCTGGTGCCTGGGTGAGATGATGGACAAGCTGATGGACAATTTAGTGGGTGAAGAATTAAAGGTAAGGAATATAATTATTTTCAAACAATGGCAAATTGGGACTTTCTCTAGAGACGTTTGTCAGGGTTATATCAGGCTGGGCATTTGACATGATACCAAGCGATTGTCTAGATAAAAAACAGCGATCCATTATTGATAAAGCAGGTATGATGGGGTTGAGAGACCGGGGAACAGTCATCTGCATCTCCCAGAAATGCTGATGTTGGTAGTGCTGCACCTGCAGCATCTTTGCCAGTGGAGCACACAGAGAAGTCGGGAGTAACCAGAGCAGTTCAGATGGTAAAATGTGCCACTGGTGTGGAGGGTGGTGGCAAGGGCAGGCAGTCACGGGGTGACGCTTTGCCCAGAAGAGGGGCTTGGGTGTTGCTGCACCCTGTGGGAGGAATGGAGCTGAGGTACTCCATGCTTGCTGGTGCAGCTGCGGAAGCCTGGCAGTGCCATGAGCCCCACAGCTCTTGCCCAACTCTGTGCTGCAGGGGGAGGGCAGTACCAGCCATCGCCTGTCCCACACCCAGTATTGCACCTTCTAATCCTGTTTAACATCAGTGATCCCCTTTTATTTCCCTCTCATACTGATTTTTTTTGTGTTCCAATTTTATTTTGTTTCCATGTTTAAGAAATCCTCACCTTCCACTGCCAAACCCCCAGGCGATAGACCCTCCATCCCCCCCCAGCGACACACCTCCTCTAGCACAACCCCTTCGAAAACACCCTCCAGCCCTGCTTCCACCTCTAAACGAGTCTCATCTGTCACACCCCGACCTGCCAGTACAGGAACACAAGAAACGAAAGCCAAGGTAAGGAAATGGGATGTGAGAGGCAAAGCTACCTTGGGGAATACCTTAAGGCGTTCCTGGCAGGTCTGGCAGTGCTTGGCTGGGCAGTCTGTCCATGTCCCGTTCAGTGGAGAGGGTGGGATGTGCTTCCCTTTCGCCTTCCAGTGGCCATGGCCAGACTTGGCTCCAGTTTTGGTGTCTGAAGCAACAGCGTCCCCATCTCACCAGCATGTAGGCCACTTGCTTTGCATTACAGCAACAATCTCTCATTGCTGCAGGGTGTTACCTGGTCTCCCTGAGGCATTTCCAGGTCCCTTTGTGCTCTTTCATGCTCTGCTTTGTTTTGCATCTTTATGCTGTGTTTTATGGGTGTGTTGGCTGTAAACAGCAGATGCATTTGAAATGTGCCAGAGCCAGATCTGCCAGGTGCTACACAGAGAACAGGAAATGCACACACATCCGTGGCTTGTTCTGCAATGTAAAAAGTAGCTTGGAGTTTCCATTTCTGGTGTTTAGTCGTACAAATGCACCCGTGGTGAAGGAAAGAGCAGAGGCTGCAGGTCGCAGACAATGGGGTGTGGTTTTACCGTGATGGAGATATTGCGATGGCTCTGCTCTGGGTCCCTGCTGCCTTGGTTCCAGTCAGCTTGTAAATTTTCACTTTTGTGTTTTTCATGAGCATGTGTACACAGACCCCTGTTAGAAAGTCATCGGAAAGAGGATGTATTAGTTCATAGATTTGGGGAGGCTTTTCTGCAGCTCAGAAGACAATAAAGAGCATATTGCTATTTACGTGCCATTACAGATCATGTACGTGCTACACTAGTGTATGACAGGTGGGGATAAAGGAGGTGCTTCTCTGTGTGTGGAGTCTGGCGCTTAACCCCTAAATGGAGCCTCTGGTCTAGTCAATGGATTTATCTTCTGTACAAAATTTTAGCACAAGAGGGAAACAAAAGGATGAAATTTAGGGAACAGACAAAGGAGTTGAACATACTTTTTAACTGGGCCTGAGTGTGCGGTGAATAATGTAGCTGAAGCTGAGGGCTCACATGGGAAAGCGGCGCAGCTGCTCTGCCAGCCCAGGAGTGACTGTGGAGTGGCTGTGGCAGACGCCGTGATGGGAGACGTCGCAGATGCCTGCGTGTGGGGAAACCTGTGGGAGCTCCTGCGGGCTGTCAGGGTAGGAAGCAGGAGGGTCTCATGTGGCTCTGATCCAGGAGGGGTGATTGCCCATCCCTGGGCAGATCCCCCTGCATCAGCCTTTTCCCCCTTACATCCCCAGGGCCCGGAGATGAGAGGTGGCACGAAGACGGCCACGCCGCGGTCTGCAGCTGGGCAGAGGAACTCGACCAATGCGACACGCATCCCGGCAAAGACACCCACGGCCCCCAAGACACCTCCTGGCTCTGGTAGGTGACGGCGAGAGCAGCATGCAGCCACCTTCCCGTGGTGTCTTGGCTTTGGTGGTGCTCCCAGGCTCTCCGTGCGATTATGTGGAGGTAGTGACCAAATTTACCCTGGTGCCAGCTGGGGTCATGCACACCACCAAGCAAGGGCACGGCCAGCAGGCTGAGGTCTGCGTGGTGATTTGGAGCTGCTCACCTTGTCATGGGGCTGTGGGTGCAGAGCTAGGGATGATTAAAGTGAGCCGTTCTGGGCGCTGCTTCATCTGCTCTGTTTGTATAGTTGCCAGTGTGTAGGTGAGGGCAGTTTCTTTATCCCTTTGGGATTTCCTCCAATTTGGAAGATTTAGGCAGCTCCGTTTTTTTAATCCCTCTGTTCCTTTTCTCTTGACAATATTTCACAAAGACCAGGGGCAAGAGGATCAGTTCTTTGATTGCAGGAATGGAGATTAGCCCATTATTCTCAGGGAAGAAAACCCCAGAAAGCATCAGGCATTGTGAATTCCATTAAAACGGTGCATTTCACTGAATATATATATTTCATACTTAACCAGAGCTACATAAAACCTTAAATTAATTAAATTTCCAGCTTTATTATGTTTAATCATCTTTCTCATTCATTAAACAGGCAGAAAGGAGCAGAAAAAACCACCTCCTGCAGCAGCAAAGTCGGAGAAAGGTGATGTTTAAGGGTTTTCTTTTCTTCTTCCATTTTTTTTCAAACTGGGGATAGTTCTAAGCTGCTCGTTGATCAGCCTTATTTAATAATGTAATTGTGTAAAAATGCTTCCAAATGTCTAATAGAAAAGTGGTTTTGTTGGAGTGTCTTTTTTCTGTAATTTGTCATGCATGCTAACATCACGCTCGGGTGGGGAGTCTTACCAATGATCCAGACAACGGAGACCCGTCTTCCGAGATACGAGGAAGTTGCCTTGAATCACAGTTTTCACTTCAAAATGAAGTAGAAGAAAGTGCAGCCATCTCCCCCCTGCTGATGGTCTGCACTAGGAGCAGCGGGTGGGCCCTGGGACCAGGCAGATGAACCCCATAAAGGCAGGCAATGAGTGAGGAAGGGGTTGTGTCCCCAGATCGCTTATCCTGTGCTTGCCTCCCTCTGTCTCCAAACTTCAGGTGAGCAGCCAAAGTCCGGAGACAGAAGCGGTTACAGCAGTCCCGGCTCCCCCCGGGCTCCCTCCCTCCCTCCCTCTCTGCCCACCCCACCAGCCAGGGAGCCCAAGAAGGTGGCAGTGGTTCGCACACCACCGAAATCTCCTGCGTCTGCCAAGAGCCGCGTCCAGCCGTCAGCCGCACCCATGCCTGATCTGAAAAATGTGAAGTCCAAAATTGGCTCAACTGAAAACCTGAAGCACCAGCCCGGAGGTGGCAAGGTAAATGTGGACTCTGCTTTCCAGGGGCCTGTCTGTAGGGACAGCGGGTGCTTGATGCTGCATCTGGGAGGGGAGAGCCCTCCCTGGAGCTGTAGCAGCCCAGCTGCGGCCAGAGGTACAACAGTGGGCAGCCAAGCTTCAGCTGATCACCAGTCTGATTCTGATTTTGGGGTTAATTGGGTTGGATGCGTGTCCTGAAATTGCTTGCCTGGCTTAGTGCAGTACAGCTGTCCCCGAGAGATGACTGCAGAGAGCTTGTGATGTGGCATGTCAACATGTGGACTGGCTTCCAGGGGACTGGCGTTCCCTTGTGTCCAGTTAAGGAGAGCAGATTGTGGCCTGCGCCCTAAAGAGTCACAGGAGCCGGGTTGTGTTTCTGAATCCTGTACTGTGTGGTCTGGAGCAGTCGCTTCAATGCTGTCTCCATTTCTTCGTTAGTGAGTGGGCAGGATGGTCTCTTCCCTGTGAGGGTCCCAGGCTTGGCACATTTTTCAGAACATTGTGATTTTGGATCCAACTCTGCTGGCAAGGTTTTGGATTGTGTTCTGCAATCAGGCTCTGTCTGGCTACATGATGCAGTGTGGCACGGCCAGAACTGATGGCACTATTATCCTTCTAACCACTAGTACTTTTCCCTCCCAGAGAGGCTGTTTCACAGGCAGAAAAGCAAACTCTGTGCTCCAAGTGCTTGAGAATGAGGGTCGCGTGTTGAATTTTGCAGGCCCAGCAGAGGAGAGTTTGGGTGAGGGAGTGGTGTGAGCTAATTCATCCGTGCAGCCCCAAGGGCAGCAGCGTGCGGTTACACGGGTCCAGCTGTGGTGTTGGCTGCTCAGCACCCACCCCAGCCTCTCTGCACTGCTCCGTCGCACTGTGTGGACGTATCCGGAGGCTTTTGTAAAATCCTCCTTGCTGCATGGGCGGTGATATGAAAGCACCGGGTTCCTCTGGATGGTGAAGGCCCGGTGGCTCTTACACAGATGTTAAATGAGAGCGCTGCACATCTGATGGCCAGTGCAGTCAGGAGCCCCCGTGTGCTTGTGCTTGCCTGCCCTGGGGGGAACACTGCCTTGCAGACCTTGCTCTGCAGCTGCTAATGCAACAGAGCCGTGACACATCTTCTCTGCGCGCGGTGCATGCTGTTTTGTGCGACTAGGTAACTCCGTGGCTCTGAGTGTTTGACTTTGGCACAGAGGGAGGCTCTGAGATGGCTTCTCTTCACCATCTTAAATAGTAGCGTGCTTTTCTGTTTCCTTATGTTCATTTTTTGCTGTGGCTGGCGATTTACTGGACAATGCACATTTTACTTTGTACTACAATGCAGGGAAGCTCTGGAGGCTGGGCAGGGCTGCTCTGGCCATTGGTCATGAACAGAGCAGCACATGTCCTTCCAGCTGGCTGTGTCCCCATGTCTCAGCCTGCCTGCCCACTTAGCACAAGGTGGAAGGCTTTCCTGCCACCCCCACAAAACGCTGCTCTTCAGGGATTTTAGAAGGAACCTTTCCATTTACTGTAAATTGGTTAAAGTATTTGCTTTTTTTTTTTAATCCAGCTTTTCTGAGTTTTTTTTTTTCTGTATCTGTCAGGCAACATGTTTATCATCACTGAAAGGGTAAGAACAGCTGAATTTGGGACAATTCATTCCTCTTTGTAGGGGAGAATGGCTGAATGCTCTGTTGGGGATTTTGTAGGGCACAAGGCTGCCCTTAGCAAAATGGTTGCAGCTGGAGCAGAAGGGACTGATCCCACAAGTGTGATTTTAGGGTGGCCAGAAGATGGGTCTGGAGCCTGTTCTCCATACAGATTTCACACCCCCAGCCTAGGGAAGCAAAAGTACATGGGGCGCACACACCAGGAGTCAGCCAGCTCACATCCCTTCCAGTATTTCTGTATTGCCTGAGCGCTTTTGTTGTTGTTGGATCTCTGAATACTGCTCTGGCAGAGCCTGGTCTAGCAGAACTGGGTCCTGATTTGCAGAATTGGTTGATGTGAACTTGGAAAATGATGCTGAAGGCGTGTGTCAGCCTTGGTGCTTCTCATGCTAAAGAGCCGGTGTGTAGCGAGGAGCTCTCCTTGCAGCAGCAGGCCGGGCACGTTCTGGGGTGGAGAGCAAGATTGCCTTCTCAGCCAGCTTTGTGCATGTTGTCATCCAGGGACTGCATGTGCAGTGTGATGGGACCCTGCTCTCTTGCAGGATGCTGTGTCTCTTGCCCTCTCATAAGGGTTGTGCTTCAGACAGGCTTCTCCTGAGGCAGCAGGGGCCTGTGTGTCTGCTGCTTTTTACCTGCATTTGCCTCTGGTTTATACTTGCATGGATTGTAAAGGCACTCCAGTCTGCGCAGGAGAAGAAGCAGGACTACCTTCATCTTTGTGTGGTCTGGTATAGCTGCTCCCATGTGCGGGGTCACTCCAGCATGGCTGCCCTTACAAAACCCAGATAGGGATAACAAGCCCTAAATGGAAACAGCTTCATTAGCCCAGAAATGTGTGTGTGGCGGAGAGGGCAGGCAGGCTTTGGGACTGGAGGGTGACATGAGCATGGTATGTGGTTCTCCTGTGGCACCAAGCCATTCCCGGGCTCCCTCTCACCTGGGATGGTGTTGGGAATGTGCCACAGAGCAACTGCCTTTGGGCTTGGTCTGTGCTGCCCCTTTCATCTCATCTGTACGGGAGTGAAGAGAACTGGAGGGATGGGACTGCATCGCTGGCACCATTTGCTTTTTCTCTTGGTAACTGTAGAGGGAGTTTGAGCCCTGCACAGCACAGAGCTCAGGCGTCCTCTCCCCAGTTGTGCCAGACACACAGCTCCTGCTCTCCAGCCTGCTGCCCCGGCCGTTTGCCCAGTTTGCTCAAGCTGCTGAGGCCACGTATCTCTCCTGGAGAGGGGGCATACCGCCCAGCATGGGAGATGGGGCTGAGCAGGCATTTTTCTCTTGGCTCCATCCTTCCTCCTTCCACTGGCTCCGCAGAAGCCAAGTCTCAGACCACTGGTGCCTTCCAGCACGTTTGCTGCCCAGCGAGCTCCCCGTTTTGTTCAGTGAAAGAAAACAGGGTTAGCTGGCTTTTTCGCTCATGTTTCTGGCCTGGAAAGCAGGGCTGCTTTGCTAGTGAGACATATCCAATCTCTAGGTATAACCTGCCCAACTCTCCCTCCAGTTTCCAACCCATGAGTAGACAAACCTGTGCAGCAAGCCGGAGGTTCTCCTTTGCTCTTGGCACTGGAAGGCAGGTTCCTGGTTTTGGTGATGTAACGCATGGTCAAGCTCCAGATGGTCATGTTGTTTCTCACACTCTTTTCTGGCTACCAAAGGTGCAGATTGTTAATAAGAAGCTGGACTTTAGCAGCGTTCAATCCAAGTGTGGCTCAAAGGATAATATCAAACACATCCCAGGAGGAGGCAGTGTGAGTACCTTCACACTTTCAATGCACTATAATAGTCCTTATTATACGTGGCATGTTGTATACACTAAATCACCAATGCTATCTGCAGCGACCCTGCCGTCAGATAGCTATTGGTGACGTGCAATGACTCTTTTCTGGCTACCAAAGGTGCAGATTGTTAATAAGAAGGTGGACTTTAGCAGCGTTCAATCCAGGTGTGGCTCAAAGGATAATATCAAACACATTCCGGGAGGAGGCAGTGTGAGTACCTTCACACTTTGAATGCACTGTGATAATCCTCATTATTAGTGGCATGTTGTATACACTAAACCGCCAATGCTATCTGCAGCGACCCTGCTGTCAGATAGCTATTGGTGACGTGCTGTCGTTTAACCCCATTAACCCAAAAGACATGGTTAGATGAACCCTAACAAGTCCTGTACATGCCTGACATGTACAGAACTAACTGACCTGTGTAGAAACCGTGTCTGTAACAAAACATCCCGTTAACTCAAAGGTTTTACACTACCTGGAAGGCTTAACGCCTCATTGTCTGCAGGACGGGTGGCCTCTAGCAGACAGTGACGTAGTTGCTGATGCAGTAGATGGATAGATTTATAAATAAACGCAGTCATCATCGCTTAATGTATTGTTCAGTTGCACATGACTCTGCACAACATGTGAAAGCTCAGGTTCCTGCCCATTCCCATCAGGCAAGTATGATCCATGCAAATATTAAGCTTCTCCTTGCTAATGAATAATTCTGGTGTATGTTAGGCAATCCTGATCCTAAAGTAATATGGAGTTAATTGATTTGAACGTTGGCATTTTCAGCCATTGCCAGCTGAATAGCCAGACTCAGCTTTCAGTTACTGTGCCAGAAACCTGGAGAAACTCCACAGAGGTTGGTGCATTTACACCAGTCTCTCTGGAGACAGAGTTTGGGTCCAGGAAAGATGATGGACCAAGGAGGGAGCATCACTGAGACCCCAAACGGTGTGACCCAGGGTCTGTGGTTGCCTGATCTGCAGCTATCTGAGGAAGCTACCTGGTGCCCCTCAGATGTTGCCGATGGATTTTCTTTGTGTTGTTTTTAATTTCTGTAGACGCCCTCCCTGAGAAACTGAGCATTGCAGAGGGCTTGGCACGTAAGCATTGGGATATAACTGGGTTTGCAACCTCTGTCTTAAATTTGATGTCATGCTGCCTGTATTTAATGGGCCAGAGGAGCTGCTTTGCGGAGGTCAGACCTCTGTGAAGCAGGTTCCATGTTTGTTCTGCTCTTTCTTACCCCAGGGTCCTGCACTGGCTGGACTGCCTGGTGTGTGGATGGCTGCTTGTTACGCCAGGAGTTAGTGTTCGTCACGAGTCATCTGTGCTGTGGCTGGTAATTAGCTCCAGCACAGGGTGGTGAGCTCATCCTGTTTTCTACTGAGAGCTCACACCATGGGCAAGCGTTCGCTGCTGCAGTGGGTTAAGAATTACCTGGATTTTTGCCTGGAGATTGAGATCCCTCCCCAGGCTCTGCCTGCAGTGAAAATGGTGTGATCGCTGCCTGGCTGTGCAGCTTAGCTCTGGGTGCGGGTGCTCGGAGCAAAGCCATGTGCTGATGTGGCCGGAGCGTGGCTGCACAGGCTGTCCGGGCGGCAGAGCTGTGACTTGGGGCTCCTCCGGTAGAGGGGCAACAAGAGACCACCGGGCTTTGAGGGCCATCATGCCTTAATCCTCCACGATGCTGCCGGCAGCGACTGCCCCCCCAGCCATTGCTGCTTCCAGAGGAATGAACTGTTGCTGCAGTTACCTGGGGTTGGTATCTTTTTTTTCTTTAAGCTAGTGGATGCTCTGACAAGGTGATGCATTAGGCAAAAGTTGACCTAAGCATCACTGATGCTGAGAGGTGGGATCCCCAGGTCTCTGGCACTGGTTTCCCAGACAAGCAGCTCTGCACCCCTTTTCCTTTCTTGCTAGAAGGCGGAGGACCTTTCTCTGCTCCCCAGCAGGATGGTAAGGGTTAATGGAGACCTGTCTGTTAAAAAAGGGAAATGGAATGAAAGCAGAAAGTGTTTCAGTTGCTGATTGCTTGCTCTGGAAATGGGAGGTCTCTCAGTCCCAGGTCCCAGTGGTGCCCGAATTGCTCATAGACCCTTCAGGGTCATGGCTGGGATTGGAAAGGCACCAGCTGTCTTTCTGGGGTCTGTTCCCTGCCTTCCAACTGAATCTGGCTCTCCTCCTGCTCAGTGCGTTAGGCGTGTGATCTTTCCCCAACCCTGTCTTCGTGTCTGTGTCTGCGGTGTACTCCAAGACCCTGGGGTTGCTTTTCTCCCCTCTCTCTGTCTCCACTCTCTGTCAGATGTGCCTTTTGGTGTGCGTGAGCATCGGAGACAAGGCAGGCCCGTGTGCACGGTGCTCTGGCTCAGTGTTAGCGGGATGCTGGCACCCAGCCTCTGTTCACCCCTCCTATTCCTGGCTGCGTGATGGAGGGGGGAGTGTTTCTCAGTGGTGTGCACAACCATGGTCCAGCAGCTGGCTCTGAGGGTGGTGAGGCCGGTGGACGTGGGGCTGACGTGAGAACTGAAGGGTGCACCTTCACCCCGTGGCTTTTGAGTCGCTCAGGCGCGATGAAGAGCAGTGGCTGTGGCGAATCCTTTGTGCTGGCTTTCGGCCACGCTGGTGCGGAGGCTGCTTGGAGGAGTCCTTTGCTCCTCTGCAGAGGTCCCTTTGGTGCTGGCACGTCCTCCTGAGAACTGGCATGCCCGCCATGGTGCTGGGTGATAATGCAGAGAGCAGCACACGCTCCCCTTCAAATCCAGGCTGTTACTGAGGGCCAGACACTTCCCAGTGAGTAGGAACCAACGTGGAGATGCTGATGGTGCAATTTCTCCTGCACAGCCGCCCTACTAACTACAGCAATAGCTGATTCACAGACAGGTGTGAGTCCAAAACCAAGGTCCAGGGTAACTTCTGGGGGCGTGGGGATGTTTTCTCACCCCTTGTCTCCTGCTCCTGATGTAGCTGGTGTGTATGTGCTGTGGTTTGCTGTCCCTGACATGCCTGATGGTCCCAGGCCTCTCCAGTAGTTGGTGTTTTCCAGCGTGGTGTTGAACCTCTAACGTAACCACTAAACAACTCCTCGTTAACCGTTCCTTGTGTGTGTGTCTCGTGTAACCCGGCTGTCCGTGCGCAAGAGGCCACCGGCCCCACGCCCAGGCACGCCGCAGTGCCGTGGCCGGTCTTTGAATGGGGCGGTTTAAGTGGAGTTGCTGGAGCCCATGTTCAGAGACGGAATGGGTAAAACAAATAGAAAACAGAGTGTAATATCATGAGATACTGTTGTGGTTCAATATATTACAATTGCCATTTTAATTTATGTGAACTCCTACCAGATATTTAGATTTTACGTTGCTTTTTTTTAAACCCTTATTTCCGTTACAGCATTTTTCAGAAATGCATATTTTGATCACTCTTTTAAAAGTTCTGTGCACATTGATCATTTCTGTTCTTTCAGTTTTTGTGGACATAAGCTTTATGTTTTACACCAGAAAAGGTATTTATTTTTTACGTTTTCTCTCTGGTATATCTCCTCCTTTTGGATGATGTGTATGCAAATCTTAATTAATTACCACTCCACTTTCTCTCTCACTTAAGCACTTTAAAATTGCCTCTACTTCCCCCCTCTGTGGAGAGGTGATCTTGTGCATGCTGACATGTTAAGAGAGGCTACTGCACACGGGCATTAATGATCTCCCATTTCTGATGACAGTTTCTTTTGTATTATTAATCTCACTGGGGTTTAAGCTGTCCTTTCCCTTGAATCCAGAGCCGGTGCCGGTGTGTGTTGTGCCTCCCCTTCCCCAGGTTGCCCGGGGTGGCAACGAGCTCATTGCCTTTTCCTTTCTCATACGGACAGGTTCAAATCGTTTACAAGCCAGTCGACCTGAGCCACGTGACATCCAAATGTGGTTCCCTGGGCAACATCCATCACAAACCAGGTACCCCTTGGCTCCGCAGCGTCCCGCAGCACCAGGCGCTGGTCCCTGGAAGCTCGCAGGCTGCGTCATGGTGTCCGTCTGGAGATGGGGAGAGGGTTGGGGTAGCGCAGGCAGCAAGAGGAGACATGTGGGACAGTGACCGGTGCAGCAGAGTGAGCCCTGGGGTGTGGGACACTGCTCCCAGCTCTGTCACTGCCAGACCCTCTCCAGTCTGCCTGAGCACTTGGTAGTGGGGGAGGGATCTGGTGTGATCCATGGACACCCTTGTCTGCGCCAACACCTCGCTGTAAATGAGGAGTATTTAGGAATAGAGGGGACTGCTGGTGTTCAGGGGCGTGAGGGTAGCTCCCTGCTCTTGGTTCTGTAGAACATTGGGACATCTGTCAGCTCTGCGCAGCATCCTTTGGCAAGTCTTTTTACCCTGGTTCCCATTTGCCCTGGCTCCTGGGTTTCCCAAATCACCATGGGGTCCCTCTTGCTGCCGTTTTCCTGGTCCTCACCCCCTGCTCAGCCTCAGAGTGCTTTGGTTGAGCCGCCTTGGAGCGGCAGCTCAGACCTCAGCGCATTTTCTCCAGCTGGCGCAGGAGCTAACCCAGGTCGTGCTCTTCTCTTCCAGGCGGCGGCCAGGTGGAGGTGAAATCTGAGAAACTGGACTTCAAAGATAAGGTGCAATCGAAAATCGGGTCCTTAGATAACATCAGCCACGTCCCTGGAGGAGGAAATAAAAAGGTAAAGGGGCGCTGGGTCGAGAACAGGCATGTTGTTCTGCTGCGAGTGTCTGTCTGCTCTGGGAGCAGGCATGCAAGCAAACAGCGGTTGAAGCCTGGACTCGGAGAAGGTCCTGCTCACCCACCTCATCTTCAGACCACGCGGCCTCTCCTCTCTGCTTACCAGGCAGCACTTCTTCCCCAGTGCTTGAAATGATTTGCCGCCCGTGTTTTAGCATGGGGTGGGCTGTGCACGCTTGTCCTTACGAGGACAAAAAGCGCCCTGCCCAGGGACAGGCTGCTCAGCCACTGCCCAGGCAGCCAGCTTGCCTTCCTGCCAGCAGCGTGCTGCGGGCGGGCAGAGCGCGGGCTCCTGGGCTGCCGCTGCCAGCCTGGGGCACGTTGGCCGGCGGGGCTGCAGCCTCTGTCCTCTGCCTGGCCTCTGGTCACCTGAAGGAGTGCGAATGCAAGTGGTACCCTCTCCCGTGGGTTCCTGCTCTTTCTGCTGTTCCCTGAAGTTTGTGCAGAAACACGTTTGTGTCTCCAGCCTTTCACACCGTCAGCAGCTGCTCCTGCACTCTGCGTTGCCAGTTACTCCCAGCATGAAGCTGGCAGCTCAGGGTGCTGCATAGGTGCTGGTTCCCCGGTGAAAGTGGAGCATTAAAGGCTTAGCTTTATTTAGAAGAGGTGACTTTGCAGTAGGCTGTCACTTCAGAAGAAAGGTGATCTCTTCTCACTTCAGGACTCTGTGTAGGGAGTGCTGTGCGTTTGGGAGGATTTAAATTGAAAGACAAAAGCTAATCTGGTCAGGTGAAATACTGAACTTGGGGTGAGCTGCTGCTGCCGGAGGCTTTGGTGGTGACTTCACAGTAATTCTTAGCAAAGTAAAACCTAAAACCTCGCTTCGAGGGCTGGCAAGGCCCTTGCAGGCAGGGGAGCAGGGAGATCAGGTAAGCGCAGAGCTGAGACTCCAGCCTGGTGACACGCACGGTTGAATTTCTCCAGGGAAAAGTGTTTTTTGTCTTGCTTGTTTTTCAAACACTTTTTTCTCAATGGGAGGGGAAAGTTCTGTTTCGGCTCCTGTATTTTGGCACTTTGTTCTTGGCCACGTTTTCTCTGCACACCTCCCAGCTCTTCATCTCCCAGTGGTACACTGGCCTCTGACTGAGGGATCGCTTGACTTCCTTACCCTTCTCTCGCTGCTGCTACGCATCAGACTGCCCTGTGCTTCACTAAGCCCATTTTCATCGTTTTTGTGATTACAGAGATGATTCTTTCATATCCTGGCACATTCACTGGGCCATAGTTTGGAGAACTTGCCCTTTGGAGGGGGAATTTATCTGCAAGGGTGTGACCCAGCAGTGGCATTACCTGCCTTAACCTTCCGGTGTGGCAGTTGCCCATACCCTGCCTAAATCCACACCTGGAGCAGGTTGTTGGTGTACCTTGGGTTCAGATGCTGCCTCAGATTGCCTCCCTCATCCAGCCCTTTCCCGTTCACATCGTGGCACCAGGGACCGTCCTCGGGCAGTGCTGCTCCAGGGTGGGACGCTCTGTTCTCAGGGAGGGGACAGGACACAGCTGAGCCCCATAGCCTTCCACGTAGAGCTGCTGTGGGCAGCCCTGCTGCCCCTTCCCCAGCCTTTCCCGTGTCCCCAGCCCCCTGGACATGGGAGTCCACGGCTCTCCAGGCTGAACGCTGGTTCATGGGCCGCTCTTGCGTTGGATTTCCCATGGGGACACAGGGTGCTGTGTGCCCTGCCAAAATACCCGTGCCGGCAGCATCTGCTCTCCTCCACTGTGCAGGGGAAGCTCTGCTCCCCATCTCCAGAGGCAGACGCTGTTCTTCCTATGAGTCAGTGAATGGCCCTGTTTTGCAGATCTTTTTCTCCCCAATTTTCTATTTCTTTTCTTTATTTTTTTGTCTTTTTCCTTCTGGTTGACATTTATTGGATCTTGTTTTTTGTTGCTGATGCGTTTTTTGCACCCCACCGCCCTGGGCGGGTTTCTTCACCTGTAGAGAGAGAAAGGCAAGGAAGACAAGACCCGTCCCCAGGCTGCTCGGACCCCGAGCCCAGACCCTGCTGGGCTCCAGTCCCTGGTGCTGGAGCCGCCCACCCCCCCGGAGAGCCAGCTCCCAGCCTTGCGCTCGGCTGGGGAGGGCACCAGTAAGTAGCAAACCCGACCCACTTCACCTCCCCTCCCTGGCCCTCGTGCTTGCTGGGAGAGAGGGATTTGGCTCATGGGAGCAGCGCTGTGTGCCCAGCTGGGCCGTGGGTTAAGGGGAGCAGCCTTACGGGCCGAATGGGGATCCCCCCCCTCCAAAAACCTCTGCCAGGGGAGGGGGAGCAGCCCAGGCTGTGCCCTCCGAGTCCTGTGCCTGGGACCTGCGGCCACACCGGGCCTGGGCGCTTGGGAAGGATTTGGCACCATCCCGAGATGCTCCAGTCCTGCCGTCGCTTCCCGTTGTGCCTGTTCCCTGGGTGGGCTACTGGAGGGGACGTGCCTGAGGACTGGGAGCACTGGGGGGCATCGGGCCAATGAACTGAGCTTCCCTCCCAGCTGCACAACAGCAGTGACCGAGCGGACAGTCTGCAGGTACAAACGGCCTCTCCGGCCGGTGTCCCGCATCCTCCGGGCTCATCGCCCTCTCCTCTCGTTGCAGATTGAGACCCATAAGCTGACTTTCCGCGAGAACGCCAAAGCCAAGACTGACCACGGCGCCGAAATTGTCTACAAGTCCCCCACCATCTCCGGAGATGCCTCCCCGCGCCGCCTTAGCAACGTCTCCTCCACCGGCAGCATCAACATGGTGGACTCCCCCCAGCTCGCCACGCTAGCCGACGAAGTGTCTGCTTCGCTGGCCAAGCAGGGCTTGGGATCGGGGCACGGCGGGGGAG